TCTCAGCCGACTTCGTTCCTGAGTCAGCAGAGCATAACTCCACCTGCTTATGTCTCTTTAGTCCGCACCATACCTGGCTTCTGAGCCTAGTTTTTCAGAGAGCCTCCGGTAGTTGCTGTTATCTGTCCGCCATGTTCTCCCAGAAGAATAGTTATTTTTTTTAAATTTAGATGGGCTTTTTCAAGTAGAAGACGAATTTTTTTTTCTGTTTTTTGCAACAATCTTGCAAGACTGAATCTGTTCCTAGTTTAGTCAGCCAGAGGTACAAGCAAGAAACAGTGGTCCATGAATAAATAAATGAATATGCTCATCAGGTGTCTCAGTATTAAAAATCTGGAGAAACAATTTCCACTTTTGATCTGTGTTACTTCTCGATTGCTGGATACACCTATATTTCTTGAAACACTAACATTGTTGGGATGGCAGGTTTTTCCCAAGTAACAGCTACCCAAACCAGTTTCTGAAGGGTCTAGTGTAAAACCAGAGGACTGCAGCTGCACCAGGCAAATGTGTATAGCACTTAGGAAAATCAAAATGGAAATTAATGCTCTTAATTTCATGCCATTGCTATTGAAGCAACAGCAATACAAAATATACAAGACGGGTCACATGACTGAGGGTAGACTTGAAAAGTTTTGTTTGTGCTATTATACAAAACCATGGAAAAAGCAGAAAAAGGCGAAGGTCATTGGCGGACGTAAACATCCCTATTTGGATTTATGATGGCTCTTCAGTTAGTTGCACTCATTGTGGTCCTGCTCTCGATCTATGTCCCTGGAGCAGTGTTGAGATTCTCTGTGTCTGTGGTCACTGCTCCCATGGGTCTCATCTCGGTGGTTGTGATCACAATGTGGGGCATAGCGGTCCATGTGTTCACGGAAATAATCTTTCGGCTGCAAGTAGGCAGAGTCTCCACTCTCCTGAGTTTCAGAGTCAAATGTCTCTTGCCTGGAGAGGCCTTGACTCACACTGCTGCGATGCTTGTGATGTGGGGCTGAGGAGGAGGAATGCAGGTGGGATTTTGACAGGTTCCAAGCAAGATTCTTCTTCAGGTTGGGAAGCTGACCAATCAGGAGTGGAGCAATCAGTCACCTGATCACCTGGAGAACCCTGGTAACAAAAGGAACATAACTGGGCTGACCTTGGGCTTAACCAAGGTCAGAGTATAAAGAACTAAGTGGTCATCGTGCAAAGACATTCAAGTGTAGTCCTTTGAAAGGATCTAAAATGCTGAAATGAAGTCTAGTGTAGCTCAGTTGCTTAATTCCTTTAATATCCAGTGGCATCAGTACGGTTTGTATTGTGTTATATTGGGCTTTATTAAGTGCCTGAAACAGTACACATAGTAATCAGTTTATTTTATTATTAAGAATAAGTGAAGAAGGGTTACTGCTCTATTACATATTCCTTTGTTGAAATACACATGCAAGAGATTTTTCTATATGTGAACATAAACTTTCCTACCTCTGCTTGAACATAGATTAACAAAAACCACAATTAAAATAAAATACATGTGTGACACTTGATGGAACATCACTCCTCCAGGACCTTTACATACACTGTTTAATTCAGTAACCTAGGAGATAAGGTGATCTAAAGGAAAAAAAAGACAAAAGATGTGACAGTCACAACAGATTTTAATTATTGCTAGGGTATCCTTACTGTTCTTAAGGCCAGCAAGCCAAGACGTAAGTTCACCTGAATTGTACATGCAGTTTCAGGTGGATCCAGGCCTTGAATGCAGACAGTTTACTGTCTCAAGGACCACACAGTTAGTTTTAAAAGTCTGTAGTATCGGGCTAGGGATTTAGCTCAGTGGCATAAGTGCCTGCTTGACAACTGCAAGTTGTGAGTTTAATCCCTGGGACAAAAAAAAAAAAAAAAGGTCCATAATATGTTGTATTTATTGTGCTTTCTTAGATGTACAACATACTGTGAACATTTTTAACTAAGTGACTCATGATGTGAGCCATACTTTCAATACTGTTAAGATACTGGAGCATGCACCAAGCTGGCTGATCTCAGTGGAAGACCTCCAAATGATATAGGGGAGTGAAACTCCTGACCTACTATGTCAGTAGGAGCAAAACACAGTTGACAAAGAATGCCCTAAAGGGGCGATACCAGTTTCCCCAGCACTTCTCTAAAGAGGTGCAAAGCTTAATCAAGGGGCTTCTCAACCCTGACCCAAGCATGCGCCCTACTTTGGAGCAAGTAAGGTAGCATCCATGGCTTTAGCTTGAATCTGTCCCTTGTCATCCTCCTCAACTGCTCCCCAAAGCCACAGAAAGGGCAATACTGCACATTATGGCTGGGAAGGGGTACAACCGGCTGAAGGTGAATTCGTGTTCTCTAAAATCAAAGAGTAAATTTTAGGAACAATAGAGGTAAAGAGTAAAATATATTTATTGAGAGAAAGCAAGCTTCTGTCTGAGAGAGACAGGAGGAGTCCCAAGCAGTGGGACTCTGTCTTTCCCAGGGACTTTTATAGAGGAAAATCATGGGATGAGATGGACTTGTGGGCAAAACTGGGAACTCACAAGGCAGATGGGCATAAGGTAGGGCAGAACTATGGTTAACCAATAAGATTAATAGTTCAGGTAAATTCATTAAATTGGGGACAAATGGGGAAGTGAGCCACTTAGAAAGCAGGCATTCTTAGAGAGCAGTGAATCTTCCCTAGGGGGTTGGAATGGTGACTCCTGACTTCTGCGGGGTGCTAAGAAGCTATTTAGAACATCAGTCCTTATGGATGTATTTGTTTGATCTTTTGTCTTGAGGTTTGGCCCACAGCAGGAGGTGCCTGTCTCCCCTTAGCTGCAAGGTATCTGAGCTCCTGCACTGGCTCCTTCAGGACCTAGCCCTGTCTCCCTGCCTATAGTATTTCTAGCTAACTCAGCGGCCCGAAACACTACTGCAGGCTTACTGGGATCTGACAGCACGCAGCTGGGCTTGGAGTGCCTCCACTGTCTTCTCTGCACTGGACACTGCAATAAGACCACAGACCGCAGAGGCCTGCCACAGGTTTAAAGTCAGAGAACTTTTTGTCTTTGTGTTTTGTTTTTCCTGCCTGTGTACATTGTTCTCAGCTTTTGTATTTTTCTCTCTTTTTTGGTCCTGCTTTTTGCTCCTGTTTTATCACTCGTTTTCTAAGGCCTGGTAATCTCCCTTTGTACTTCAGTCTTCTTATCTCTCTTTTATTTTTCTATATTTTCTTGGTATCCCTAATAAATTTTCTCCCTTTAGGGCAAATTGCTCTACTGAGTATATACTTACTGTATATAATATTCTGCTTTGCCTTATAGTTGGCTGTGTAACTACAAATCTCATACCTGTGATTAAAGCAGGCATGTCCTTGGTCATAAGAGTTTATCATTTCCTGGCTGTGTTGGTTGCAGTTGTTATAGCTGATTGTACTATGTTAGCCAAAGTGACAGAGTTATTGGCATCAACTGATCTTCTTTGAACACCACCACCTCAGTTGTCTGAGGGGCACAAACAATCCTGTAGTTCTGGACTACAGAACTATAAGAACTGGGTGCTGGGCCAAACAGGCAGCAGCCCTTCATTCCTACCGAACTGAAGAGGCAGGGCTGGGGATGGAGCTCAGTGGCACAGCTCCTGCCTGGCAAACACAAGACCCTGAGTTTGACTCCCAGTACCAAAAAAGAAATTCCATAGTTTCTCGTTTTGAAAAAAAAAAAAAAAAAAAAAGTTCCTTTAAGAAAAGAAGAGGCAAAATCTTGGGATGACAGAATCCAAAGCCAGCTACCCCTACAGAACATCTCTGAAAATAGTCATTTCCTTAAGAGGTCCCAATACTAGTAATAAACTACTGACCATAAGCAATTTACAAGCCTCAAGGCAGAAAACAAGTACAAAGATAGAAAATGAGAAAATGCAGAAGCAAGATGCACCATGACATGTGTTATGTGCATGTTCCAACTTGCCCTGAACACTCTCTGGTTCAGATCCTGCCCCAGGTGCTGCAAACACAGACCACAGTTTGGAAGCCACGAATGTCTTCTCTTTACCAAATGTCACTGTTCCCACGGTGGCAAGCAACACCCTCACGTGTGGAGATTTCTCTTGTTCCAAACTCTGTCCCCACCACACGCATGCCTGTGTGCCCTCAAGGCTGGATATGAGTCTCTGTTTACTGACACAAGACTTCAATGGGCTCCTTTCAAAGGCTTGCAGACACAGACTTGGGGACAGCATTCAGAAGACCAGGGTTTGGGTCCATATCTCTTCATGGGGATGTGTGGGGGTGATGGTAGATGACCCCTTGCTCTTCCCAGAACACACCCTACTGCCAGGCACAATAAGGGAGGTAGTGGTCAGGTGTGGTCAGGTCCATGGTACCCAGGTCTCCCTGCATCCTCATGGGAGGTTGTGGTCAGGTCCATGGTGCCCAGCCCTCCCTGTCCCTGGGGCAGCCTCCCTCAGACAGCAGGACACAAGCCAGGTGACTCTCCCCCCTGCTCCTCCTGTCTTCCTCTCGCTGGCTCTCAGCTCCTGGTGCCTGTGCAGCCTTCCCATGCTGTGCACCAACCCCTCCCTCTGCTTCTCGCCCACAGGATACACTAGTGATCTTGACTCCTCCTCTCCCCTCCAGCTCCCTGCACAAAGGGCTGCAAGGCAACTCACTGTGGCTTCCACTTGTGTGGCTGACCTCGCTGTCAGGATGACCACGTCCATAGGAGGGATCATGGATCTGCACTACAAAGGCAAGGAGACATGTGTAATGCACGCTCACTGGGAAACACAGCATACAGTGGTGGCTGTGGTCACTCCAGCCTCCTCTGCAGCAGACCCCACTGCAACTCCTCCTACCCACACCTGGCCTCTGCCCACACCTACCCTTCTCCCTCCCCTCCTCTCCTCCCTACAGTTCTTCCCTGACAGTTGAAAATGATATCGAGACACAGCACATTCTGAGGAAGCAGCCGGACCACTCAGACTCCTTGAGTGACCTCTGGTTCTCTACTGTGCAGTACTTACACTGCGACCACCTTGTGTTTGTGACACTTGCACGTCGATACGGGGCAGCAGCACAGGGCCTGCAGGCAGTGTCTCATGGTTCTCTTGACAGTTTTCCAGCCCCACCTCCTACTGCTGACAGGGGCTGGGGCAGCAGTGAAGGCAGCATTTGGAGTCCCAGGGCTGTGCTGGAAGGACTCACCGGGAGAGGCAGGATTGGGCTGCCAGTATGACTCAGTAGAGGCACGGCTGGTTTTACAGGACTTGATGGGAACAGCAGGGCTTGGTTGACGGGATGCTTTAGGGGTAGCAGGCCCTGAATGGTAGGACTTGATGGAAGAAGCAGGGCTTGGTTGACGGGATGCTTTAGGGGTAGCAGGTCCTGTATAGTAGGACTTGATGGAAGAAGCAGGGCTTGGTTGACGGGATGCTTTAGGGGTAGCAGGTCCTGGATGATAGGACTTGATGGGAGAAGCAGCGCTTGGTTGACGGGATGCTTTAGGGGTAGCAGGTCCTGGATGATAGGACTTGATGGGAGAAGCAGCGCTTGGTTGACGGGATGCTTTAGGGGTAGCAGGCCCTGAATGGTAGGACTTGATGGAAGAAGCAGGGCTTGGTTGACGGGATGCTTTAGGGGTAGCAGGTCCTGTATCGTAGGACTTGATGGGAGAAGCAGGGCTTGGTTGACGGGATGCTTTAGGGGTAGCAGGTCCTGTATAGTAGGACTTGATGGAAGAAGCAGGGCTTGGTTGACGGGATGCTTTAGGGGTAGCAGGTCCTGTATAGTAGGACTTGATGGAAGAAGCAGGGCTTGGTTGACGGGGTGCTTTAGGGGTAGCAGGTCCTGTATCGTAAGACTTGATGGGAGAAGCAGGGCTTGGTTGACGGGATGCTTTAGGGGTAGCAGGTCCTGGATAGTAGGACTTGATGGAAGAAGCAGGGCTTGGTTGACGGGATGCTTTAGGGGTAGCAGGCCCTGAATGGTAGGACTTGATGGAAGAAGCAGGGCTTGGTTGACGGGATGCTTTAGGGGTAGCAGGTCCTGTATAGTAGGACTTGATGGAAGAAGCAGGGCTTGTTTGACGGGATGCTTTAGGGGTAGCAGGTCCTGTATAGTAGGACTTGATGGAAGAAGCAGGGCTTGGTTGACGGGATGCTTTAGGGGTAGCAGGTCCTGTATAGTAGGACTTGATGGAAGAAGCAGGGCTTGTTTGACGGGATGCTTTAGGGGTAGCAGGTCCTGTATAGTAGGACTTGATGGAAGAAGCAGGGCTTGGTTGACGGGATGCTTTAGGGGTAGCAGGTCCTGGATGATAGGACTTGATGGGAGAAGCAGGGCTTGGTTGACGGGATGCTTTAGGGGTAGCAGGCCCTGAATGGTAGGACTTGATGGAAGAAGCAGGGCTTGGTTGACGGGATGCTTTAGGGGTAGCAGGTCCTGTATCGTAGGACTTGATGGGAGAAGCAGGGCTTGGTTGACGGGATGCTTTAGGGGTAGCAGGTCCTGTATAGTAGGACTTGATGGAAGAAGCAGGGCTTGGTTGACGGGATGCTTTAGGGGTAGCAGGTCCTGTATCGTAGGACTTGATGGGAGAAGCAGGGCTTGGTTGACGGGATGCTTTAGGGGTAGCAGGTCCTGTATAGTTGGACTTGATGGAAGAAGCAGGGCTTGGTTGACGGGGTGCTTTAGGGGTAGCAGGTCCTGTATCGTAGGACTTGATGGGAGAATCAGGGCTTGGTTGACGGGATGCTTTGGGAGTAGAAGGGCCTGGATGGCAGGACTTGATGGTAGTAGTATGGCTGGGCTGGCAGGCCTTGGTAGTAGCAATAGCACGGCTTGGTTTGTGAGATGCTACAGGGGGAGAAGATGAAGATGGCTGATATTCATCTGTATACTCATCTTTGTTTGTGGACTGTTCAAACAGATCTTCAGCCTCACGTTTGTGTGTGGGCTTCACCTCAGACCTCAAGTGGAGTTTCTCGAGTGCCATGTCCTGTAGTAGCAGGAAGGGCGCCATGTCAGGATCGTATTTTCTGCACTTCACTGCATCAATCACCTTCAGCCGGTTGTACCCCTTCCCAGCCATAATGTGCAATATTGCCCTTTCTGTGGCCTTGGGGAGCAGTTGAGGAGGATGACAAGGGACAGATTCAAGCTGAAGCCATGGATGCTGCCTTACTTTCTCTAAAGTAGGGCGCATTCTTGGGTCAGGGTTGAGAAGACCCTTTATTAAGCTTTGCACCTCTTTGGAGAAGTGCTGGGGAAACTGGTATCGCCCCTTTAGGGCATCCTTTGTCAGTCGTGTTTGGTTCCCACTAAATGGGCGTACCCCAGCGAGCATCTCAAATAAAAGTATCCCTAAAGACCAAATGTCCAGTGGTGGGCCTTGGTATTTCTTTTGTAAAAATATCTCTGGGGCAGCATATTGTCGGGTGCCTCCACACGTGGTCACCTCCTGGCCAGGAAGGAACCTGAAAGCCACGCCAAAATCGCTGAGCTTGGGGTGGCCTTCACGGTCCATTAATATGTTCGCCGGTTTCAGGTCCCCATGAATGACTCCCCTGTTATGGCAGTACTGCACAGCCTCCAGGAGTTCTCGGAATATCAGCCGTGCCCTTTCCTCCTGCAGCTTCTGTCTCTCAGCACGCTTGATATGTCGCTGCAGGTCTTTCCCGCGTGCATATTCCATTACCAGGAACATAGTGGTACTATTTTCTGACACTTCCAGCAACTGAATGATATTGGGGTGCTGAAGGTCCTTTAGGATGCTGACCTCCCGTCTAACAGCAGTAGGCCTCAACTTGTCCTTTTGAAGTACCTTCACAGCTACCAGCATCCTTGTGCTCACATGTTCAGCGAGTACCACCTTGGCAAAGTGACCCTCACCAAGGGGCATCAGCACGTCATAGTCTTGATGGAAGTTTCCTGTGAACGATGACATTTCTGTGGACGATGACATGACGTCCAGCAAAGATGTTTTACACACCTTGAAGGGTGCCCTGATGGAACTAGACTTTATAAAATCAATGACAAAAATTTCGAATCTCAAAACGCCAACTCAACTCCAAACACCAATCTACTTCACCCACAAAGAGTCTCTGGGGTGAACACCCTACCTTATATAGCTAACTGCTGTGACCTCACAGGGGATCTTGTGAGGTCATGGTGCCAGTGGGCCCAGGCAGAGCTGGTCACCTCCACTTCACTCATCACACTCTTGGCCATGAGGGTCTTTTGATTCTAACAGAAAAATGTTACAAAATGTCTTACTAATGTGAGTTATGGAGATTGACACTTTTGTTTTAGAAATTCAGACCTGTAGGATGCTTCAATATCCCTTTTTGTTTCTGTTCTGAGAATCTGTTCTCAGCATCTGTAATACCTCTTGCATTTAGAGATCCCATGATGTCTACACTCAGCATCTCCAGTTCCTTTTGCTCTTAATTCTTACTGGTGTCAAAGTGATGCTGCAACTTCACTTACATTAGAATAACGTAACGTTCAGTGTATAAAATATGACAAATAAATTAATGCCTGTGCAGCTGACAGCAATTCCCCAAAAACATAATCATTAGACTTATCCTCAAAATCCATGGAGAGCAGCGGCAAGCACAGTCACAGAAAGGACACCCAGGAGTTGGAGACACATTTATTTACACCAACGGGCACTGATTGGTACATTCCCAGAATATCAGGGCCTGATCTCTGATGGTCTGAGGCCTGTATAGGATAAGCAAGTGGGGAGTACCGGGGCAAAATGGCTTGTTGATTGGGGTTGGTTTATGCAGCGTGCATCACAGTGACCAGCTAGGCGTCTCAGTGACCAGCCGTTTCTTAGAGACAGAACTGTTACCTGGACAACTAAGAACTGCAGTATACTGACTGGAGTGCGGGATATTCTGTTACAGGAGGACAGAAGGAAACAGGTAGACATGTGCTGTGTGAATGAAACAGTGAAACAAAACAAAAAGCTCTCTCAACTAAGCATTTTACATCCAGCAAAACTGTCCTTAAAATGAGGGGGAAAGCTCAGACATTCCTAGATGCAAGCACTGAAGAATGTCCGTCCTTCCTACTAGGCCTGCCTTGGGTAGAGGAGTCCCTTAGGTTGAAATGAAAGAACCAGCTGTGGTCCCACATGCCTGTGATCCAGCACTCAGGAGGCTGAGGCAAGATGATCACTGTGAGTTCAAGGCCAGCCTGGGCTACAGAGCAAGACCCTGGCTCACAAAGGAGAATTTTTTTGCAGGAACTCAAGTCTGAAGAAAAGTCTGTTAAAGCTGAATACGTGGACCTTTATGAAAATCAGGACTGGTTTTGTATTCTACATGTTAGAGGCTCACATATTGAAAAGAAAACAAGGCACCCTGTAGTACTGTATTTCCTGAGACACAGTGTGGCATACGTGGAGGAAACTACAAACTCACTCCCCAGATGTGGGGCAGCATCCTGTATATGGCTATGTTTAACTGCCACGGATTCACACCACCCTGGGGTGGCCTTGGGATTTTCAAAGTTATATCCACGGCATCCTCAAAGAAAACATAAATAGCTTTTACACAGGTGACGAGCCCATTGACTCCAAAACGAATGACTCCTGCAGAAGAGCAGGACAGCTGCTGCTGGAGTGGGGACAGCCACGCCCAAGCCTCTCTCCCAGTCAGCAGCATTCGCAGACTGTGGAGCGAGAACCAGGCCTCACAAGGGGGTGGGCCCTGCCTGGAAACCATGTCATTTTCATTGCTTTGTTGGTTGGGTTTTATTCTTTCATTTTGTTTGATTATATTAAATCTGATGCCATGAACAACTGTTCAAAAGATAGCAAGACGTGTTATGGTAGCCATTCTGGACTTACTGTGAGCTTGTTTTGAAGTCCTTTACTGCAGTCATTGTTTTGTGTTTGTTGTTTCTGCTCTATTCTGTTGTTTGATTTTTACCAGGTCCAAAGGTATCTGCAGCTATTTTGAAGATGATAGAGGCATTATGGTAACTATTGCTGATTTTCTAAGTTTTAAAGACCTGTATCACTTATACTGGTTTATCTTGATCGGTTTTGTTCTATTTTCTTTGGTTTTATCCTCTATTTAGGCCAGGGATTTAACTCAGCAGCATAAGATCTGTCTGGCAAGTGTGAGGTCCTGAGTTTGATCCCTGATACGAAAAACATAAAATAAAATAAAATTTTAAAAAATAAAGAAGAAGAAGACGAAAAAGAGCAAGGACAAGATGCTGCAAGGCTCATGAAACAGCCACCTGACAGAGGCAAACTCTTGCAAGCTCTAATTCCCTTCTAATGAAGGGGCAGTGTCTTCCCAATCAAAAGCAGAGACTGGGAGACGAGATGGGAAACCTCACCCAATTAGATGCAAAGCAAGAAGGTAGAAAAAGTACAAAGTAAAAGTCCTCTGTGCCAAATACAGAAGAGTTGGCCACTCTACTGTTGGAGTGGGTCTTTGGTTAAGAAAAGGTTTCAGGAGACACAGGGACATATTAGAGTGTAGGTAGCAACATAACTACATGCAGTAGGCCTATCCTGTACCAGTAAATTTTACTTTAGTGCAATAGCCAGCTGGGCATGTCACTACCTTCCCCTGAGGGACACTGGAAAGCAGTTTATGTGATTACCAACTTGCTGTGTCAAACAATGAGGTGTGTGAGCAAGTGCAAAAGTCTCAAAATGGGATTTTCACCCACGTTGTGCTCCATCTAACTGCTTTTGTGTGTTTATTCAAGCATCAAAGAGGGTTCAATAATCTCCCATTACTCCAGGATTTGTCTTTTTAAAAGCTTTCTTTTGATTTTTCTGGTGGAAATAGCCCAGTTCTGTACAATGGCATGTGAAAACTATATCTTGGAGGAGGTCACAAGTGAATGAATCGTCAGATTACTCATGCATGAGTGATGAAGATGATCCATTATGACAAAACACTTTCATAACAGAAGAGTGTTGTGGATGGATGGATGTCGATGAAGAGGAGGGAGAGGACTTTGACATTGGCCATGTGAGTCAAACTTCCTGGGACAGTGAAGTGGAGCAAAGATCAACTGATACTGATACCGACCTCCTTTGTTAAGATGACAAAGAAAACAATGTGAATACATATTTGACTAGTGAAAATGTTGCAAAATGGCCACATAACCAAATGAAATGATCTAATGTTAATACTAAGTCCAAAAATATAGTGAGGGACTTGGCAAGAGTGAAATGTATTGGACGAATGCTGATACTGCTATTCAAAGTTGGAAATTTTAACACATGAAATGTTACAAGATTCTGTGAAATATACAGAGGTTAAAATTCAAGTAAAGTGTTCTCTATGCACCATTAGCCATATTCAAAAATGTTTTATGACATGGTGCTGAACTGAAAGCATTTATGGATCTGTGTGCTTAGGAGGGATTTCTCATAGTGATTGCAGGAATGTAAAGGCCTCATGGAAAATGATGGGTCAACTCTGGCATAATGCATGCCCTTGTGCATGTGAGGACTTTTTATGCTTTTAATTTAGACATTTAGCCTTGAACTTAGCCACAAGGTGTTTATTCATAGAATAATAAACCAGATGATGTTATGAACAGAAATGTTCTTAAGGTTTGGGACTACAGTTCATATGAGGTTATTTACAGCAGAGAAATATCCAGCTTTTCTTGTCAGTGAATTATGTGAAGTACTGTGGAGTGCACTGGTGAGCTGACAGGTGAATAGGCACACACAGCTTCCTAGATCCACGATGATAAGAGGAAAACAAAAAGATCTCAACTGTGTCCTACAAGAAAATACAGGAAAACAAAACATGCTATCAGTGGAAGTGTCCCTCGTGTATGGAACATGCAAGACTGCCTTGGGTATGACAAGTGCAAAGACTGCTTTGGATATGACAGTTGAAGCAAAGCTTATTTATGTGGTAGATTTTTGTTTCTGTTTACATTGCAGTTCACATAGGTTTCTATTTTTGATGTTATCTTTGGGTTTTATAAAGAAATACACAGCTGATGTGAAAATATATCGATGTGTATTATTTTTTTTTTTTTTTGGCTTTTTCATTTTTTTATCGGTACCGGGGATTGAACTCATGACCGCCTGCTTCCAAGGCAGGTGCTTATGGTGCTGAGCTAAACCCCCAGCCCCATTGAGGTGTATTCTAAACGCACAACACACAGTAAGAATTTAAGAACTTCTTTTGATATTTTATGTTCCTGTTGGCTGCACACTCTGTAACACAATAACCTTGACAAAACAGCAAAACTGAGATATCAAGTATATCCTACAAAAAGAGTAGGACAGCAAAACGTGTGCTCCCAGTGTGAGTATTATGTGTCTATGGAATACGCTGTGGTCATGTGCACAGACTGATTTAGATGTGATAATTGAAGTGAAGATTACTTTTTTGTAAATTGCCGTTGGTATTTTCAGTGTAATTTGTATAGGAATATTTTTGTTATTTTTTGTAGACTTTATGCCAAAAAATTGTTGATGTTTTAAATTTTGATGCTTTATTATAAACACTCAATAAATATTAAAAATTCAATATTTTATATTTTTTTGTTTTTTTTTCCTGGTAAGCCACTGTGTAATATAACAACACTTATAAAAGTAAAGTTAATAACTCATCAATAGAAATATTCTAAAGAATGAATGTGTGTCTGGTAATGAATGTGTGTCTATGTTTCTGCACCTTTATGACAAAGTTAGTGTTATGCTCCTGAAATAGTCAAGACCAGGAAAGTTTGCAGGGATGCTGTTCACAGTGTCATCATCTAACCTTGAAGACTCCTCTGGAGGTTTCACCTACATCCTGCCATGCAGACAAGCTCTCTATCTACAGTTGCCAAATCCTGGGAGGTAACACACCTCCTGCAACTGGAATTCAGTATTCTGTCTCTGAGGTGAACATCAAGACGGTCATACATGTGCCAGGCCCTGGGAGAACTCCTGCTCGTCCTCTGAGAGTTCAGGGAAATCCCTGGGCACTGAGATCACTGCCCCTCTAAGCCAGGGGCTCCCAGTCACTTCTCCTGTTTCTACACTAACAGTGTCAAACAATCTGACAGTTTCAAGGCCAGGGAAGCTAGAGAGGCCTTGCAGCCAGGCCATCCACAGTGTGTTTCAGACAGGACTGGCTGGGCTCCAGCGAGGGAAGTGGTCGCCCTGAAGTCCTGCAGAGCGGTTTTGAAAGAGAGTTCTGTAGGATATATCACCTGGGTTGGAAGTTGCTTTCTTTTATGTGTTGAAATACCTCACTCCAAGCTCTCCTGGTCTTAACAGTTTGTGTTGAAAAGTGTGCTGTATTTCTAATGGTTTTACATTTATAAGTGATTCCTTGCTTTTCTTTATGAGGTTATAAGATTCTGATCTCACCTTGGACTTCCCAGGTATTGACTGTCATATGTCATGGGGAGATCCTTTTCTGATTGTGGCTACTTGGGGTTTCATCTGTCTTTCTTATCTGCATGTCAAGTTACTTCCCCATATTCAGAAAGTTTTCTGCTATTGTTTCTGTCACAGATTTTTATGCCATATGTGCTGTCTTGTGGTTTTTCACTTATTCTAGTTAGTTGTCTGTGCACCATCTAATAGCTGTTGGATCTACTGTCCATGTTCCAATTTTGTAAGGTGTCCCTGAGTATTTGGGCACTGACACCAGCCCTGTCTTCTAACTCCAGGGCTCTGTCCTTGTGGTCATTTCTGTTGCCCCCACTTTGGATACAAATTTTAATTCTCTTGGATTTCTGTTTGGTACCATTTGTGGACTCAAATTCCTTGCTAAGTCACTCATCTACATTGTGTATCATGTCTTTTTTTAGCTCAGGTAATTTTGTAGTAGTGTATTTTGTAAATGTACTGATCATTCTGTTGAATTTAAGCTTTTATCACCTTGAATAATTCAGGTGATAATTCACTGTCACTACTGTGGAAATCTCTTTAGTTAGTGTTTTTCAGTGATGCTCTAAGAGGTGTGGTGAACCACAAGCCTTTCTTTCCATTGTTTAAGTTTTAAGAACATTGTTGTCTGTTCTTTTCAAGGGTATTGATGTATAGATTATCTCTGTGATACTTGTGTCCGTTCTGAATAATCACAACAGTGACCTCATAAGTTGAGAAATTTTTCTATTCAAATTCTTATGACAATGTGTACAACTGATAGTACTTCTACCTTCAGTGCTGGTTAAAATTCAGCAGTGAAGCTATTCAAGCCTGCAGTTACTGGGAAGGTTCTAACCAATTCAGTGTCTTCCATGCAAATGAGGCTCAGGTCCAGAGACTTGGATCTTTCTTGTCTTTCAAAAAGTTTGTTCCCTGCATCAGAGCTTTCAAATATATCTGCTAATATTCTCCCCTGAACCGTTTTTGTTTTAGGTTGTATTTTTGGCCCTGGGAATTGAACTCAGGGCCTTGTGCTTGCCGGGCAGGCACTTTGTCACTGAGCTCCATCCCCATGCTTCCTCTTAACTGTTTACTCTTTCAGGTTCTAGGTAAATAGTGCTGTCCCTAGTGTTAATTTCTAAACGTATTTCATCATAGTGAGACAAAATTCTCTGCATAATTGAAATTCTTTTAAATTGATTGGGGTTTATTTTGTGACTGTGTTGGAAACATTTCCTCCATGTACAGCAGTGAATACTACACTGTTGTTTGGATGGGATGCTTCTGTCAGTGGCAGTTGGTATAAGTTTGTCCATAATATGCAACTTTTTTACCAGAAGAACATGGCGGATAGATAGCAGCAGC